CCCCCCCCCCCCCCCCCCCCCCCCCCCCCCCCCCCCGCAATATTTGCTTTATAAGACATTTCCACCCACTTTTTTGTTTGGGCGTGCGTCTTATAGTGCAAAAATACAGTACTATACCTCTATAGAAATACACAATACTAGAGAAGAAAGCCTTCTTGAAACTATTTGAGTGAATATTAGAAGAAAAAGAAACAACATTGCTCTAGGTGTTTACCACAGGCCACCTAGCCAAGAGAAGGAAATAGATGAACTGTTTGATAGTCAGTTAACTAATGTGTGCAAGAAACACACCATTGTAATAATGTGGGATTTTAACTACCCCAACATCAACTGGGAAACAATTTTTACAGTGAGTGGGAAACAGAACAGGTTTCTTATGTGCCTGGCTGACAACTGTGTCACCCAAAAGATGGAGGTGAGAACTAGACAGTGAACTATACTGGACTTAAATCTTACTAATAGGGATGAAATGATTGAGGGAGTGGAAGTTTGCAGGAGTGACCATGTCATACTAGAATTTGCCATAATGCAGGCACAGGTGATTGAACAAAGTCACACTAGTGTTTTAGGGCAGCGGTCCGCAGAAAAATTATTTGCATTTTTTATATTGCACTAAATCAGGGGTCTTCAAACTACAGGCCCTGGGCCGGATACGTGCAATGAACGTTTGTTTTGCTGCAGAATCTCACCCTTCTGGGTCTTTTTGTGCGGGTCAGAGGGGAGGGGAGAAATTCTGACTTGGGGCTTTCTTCAGCCTCCTGAAGGAGGAAAGTTCTACAGAGAGTTATCAAGTTACAACAAAGTGTTATTTGATATTTATTGGGACTCTATGCATCAAGTCAAAATTATGGTTTATTGTCAGAATTTTCCAAGGGAATCCTCATCCAGTCTTGCTTCAATCTCTAGCACTATTAGAATCAAATGTTCTAAAATTTAAAAATAGCAACACCTTTCTTTTTTCTTTTCTTTTTCCTTTTCCAACTTAAAGCTACAAATAATTTATCTCCATGATACATTTCAAGGCCTTCCAAGTGTTGAGGAATGCTGTGGCTCAAGTATTGTCACGCTGGACTTTAGGGGACAATGGGAAAGGGTCAATAGTGAGTGTCAAACAGACTACACAAGTAGCCTTCACTTTGTGACTGCAGTTGGGATTGGCAACTGTCGTTAAAGGACACAATTGTTAAGGAGACATCAAATGACTCCAATTCACAATTTTATTGCTGATTTCTCCATTGACTCTGCTTGTTGGAAGCCAGCTATAAAGCACACAAATAGTGACTGATCATGTGACTATGTGACACTGCAATAGTGATAAATGTGAGGACTGATGATATTTTCAGCACCATTGTAACTTTGGCAGTTCACTAAACAGAGCAGTTGTTAAACATGATCTGCCTGAATTTGCTTTCTTGAAGAAGTTCAGCTTTCCATCATCGTATCCCCATATAATTTAAGAGTCTTTTTTTCTAAAGAAAAGAAGGAAGTTTAGAAGCCAGCCAGCACTGGGCTTCCTCCCATTGATCCCACAGGGGGCACCAGTGAACCCACCCTACCTTGAGCACATGGAGGTCCCATGGCTGCTGAGGTATCACTTGCAAGGACAGAATGCCCTGAGGAGGGGGCCTTTCCTGTGGGGACAGGGCACGCTTTGGCACCAGCAGCAAAATAACCAGGAGACCAAGAAGGAATCCACAGGCCAAGCCAAGGCAGAGGCCGGAGATATAGGGAGGCAATGGGAGGACCAGGTAATTGTAGGCCAAGATGGCAATCCAGGTGAGAATTTTGCATGGCACTGGGCTGCAGCACTTGGGGGGCTGGACTGCCCCAAGCGGTGAGAGAGTCTGCATTTCGCCCGTGGCCTTGCTGTTTTTCTCAGCCGTCTCAACCTCCTGGAAGACCTCCCCATAGGGGCAATGTGGAGAGGAGTCCCGATCTTCCATTTCCCCTCTCCCTGATGAAATGGTCTCAGTCCAATCTGTCTCATGGAGGGGGTGTTCCAAATTGCTCTCCAAGATGGGAGACCTCTTGAAATGATGAGAAAGGAAATCAGAACCTTGCTGGTGCCCTGAGAGGGGTAAGAGGAGCTTGGGGGACACATTATTCTCATCCCCAATTATTTTGCTGAGCCTGTTGAGTGGCTCCTGCATGGCTTCTGAAAACCTCCTTTTGGTATCCTCAAACTTGGCTTCCTGAGCCTTGAAGAAGTTGCCCTTGTTCTCTGAAGGAGAATGGTTGGGAGATGATGGAGCAGTCCTGGAATCACCATTTTTGTTCCTGGCCTGGGTGATTTGTCGCCAGAGATGAACATTGAGCTTAGAGTCTGATTTGGACAGTGTCACCTCGGGCTCCAAGCGAGAAATTTCAGTGGAAATGGATTTGACCAAGCTCAACAAAGGCTGGTGTTTGAGAGATGGGCCTTCCTGGGGCTCAATTTCAGTTGAGAAGGATTTCACCAAATTGATTAAGGGTTTGGGACTGTGTGAGTTTTCCAAGCCAGTTGATCTCTGAGATGCTGAGTGAGTTGGAGACAGGAATTGAGAAATGGGGAGTGCAGGTGAGAAATCTGATTCAAGAAGAAACAGAGGAGAGGATGATCCACATAAGGTAGGCTCTTTGCAGTCATCTTCCTCAAAGAAAAAACTGTTAGCTGAGTTTGGAGCTGGAGCTTCCTCATCATCTAAGGCAAAGATCAGCTCATTTCCACATGTATCTTCCCACACAATGTCCTTTCCAGGCTCAGCAGCTGAGCAATGGCTTAACCTTTGGGAAGGATGGCATGTTTCTTCCCAGGGAGGGGAAGAAATATTTGCTGTAGAAGGATCTGAAGGCATCTGAGGATGGTCAGTCATTTTTCACATCCTCCTGGGATTGAGCCTGTGGAGTAGGAAAGAATACTGATTCTGAGAAACCTTAAATTCCAACCTAAATTCTTTCAAAGCAGCCATTTAGTCATTCAGTCATCTTGTTCATGTTGACCCCTCACATCCCAAAGTAATATTTGTGATGCCATTAGGCCCACAGATATGTTCTAATCTAGAGATTCCAAGGTTCCATGAAGGGGGAGAAAGAACAGCTGACTTCATCTATATAATTTTAACCCAGAATTTCTAACCACAATTTGTTGAACTGCAATAGCCTAATATATACTTAGCCATCCACAGGCATGTCCCCAACTCCATTAAGTTAAAAAAAGAACTTTATAGCTTCTCATCACATAAGTCAGTCTTATTTACTTGCTTTCAAAATTAGATCTGGGAAAATGATTTACCATATTTTTCAGACTATAAGACGCCCCGGAGTATAAGACGCACCATGATTTTGAAGAGGTAAATTAAAAAAACAAGTTTTTGCACTCTGCAGGCCTCCCAAACTCTCTGCATGCCTCATTTTTTGCAAAAAAAAGGGGGGGCATGCAGAGCTTTGGGAGGCTTGTAGAGTGCTCCTGGGGTTTGTGGGGGGCAAAAATGAGCAAAAAAGGCCCAATTCTTGCTTATTTTTGCCCTCCCCAGCCCCCAGGAGCACTTTGCAAGTCTCCCAAACCCTCTGCATGTCCATTTTTGCAAAGGGGAGGGGGTCGGTGGCCAATAATGCTGTATTCAGTATATAAGAGACACAGATTTTCACCCTCTTTTTTCGGGGAAAAGGTGCATCTTGTACTCAGAAAAATACGGTAACAACCAATCCTGCATCCACAGTTTTGGAGGACTAATGGCTGCAATAATTCTGGTTTGACACAGTATGGTTAAAGTAGGCTAATCTACAATACAGGTAGCCCTTAACTTACAACCACAATTAAGCCCAGAATTTATGTTGCTAAGTGAGAAATTTGTTAAGTGAGTTTTGCCCCATTTTATGATTTTTTTTGCCATATTTATTACGTGAATTACTGCAGTTATTAAATTAGTAATGTGTTTTCAGGGATTAGAGACATTTAACAGTTACATTTACCTTGAGGGCACACAAAGACTTTGATATAGAAAGGGAAAACAGGACTCTCCGGTTTACACACTCCAGTCACAATCACCATAAATCTCAGTTAACCTAAATTAGGAAAGGCAAAAATCTAGAAGGGTAGTAAGATCAATGTCTATATATTTCTTCTTTTCTTTTAAGTACCTTTATTTAGACAAACTGTTTTTTCCCCCAGTTTCATCAGTGAGCAGTGTCCGTACCTCACACAACCTGCACATGTGCCTTTTCTTCATCCCTGCCTGGATGGGCAATTTTTCCCGATTCCAAGTTTCCGTCTCCCAAGTGGAGATCTCGGTGGGAACCTTGACTGAGCTCCCCATATGTGGGCTGCTCTTCCCACTGTCCCCAACGAGACTCCAAGGTTTCTTTTCTGGGACTCTTGCAACCCACAGATTTACTCTATACCACGAAGTGAAGGCACCTTTCAACTTGCCGTCTGCCACCCTGGGCTTTCAGGCAAATGGCCTGGGAGGACTCTGTCCACCTACATTAATCAGAGTATGAGCCCCTCCTTTTCTGATTAGGACTCTGCCTGCTGGCTGTCCATGGGTGATCTTCTCACTCCCACATTTCCCTTTTCACACAGTCTCTCTCTTTCTCTAACAGAAGATCCTGTGCTCCAGCTAAACCCCCTTGCTTTTCAGAGTCTGTACGTAATGGTTCTTTGGGACTAGCAAACAGTCTGGGGGTGGTTAGAAAAGGCATGGAGGGAGCAGGATCCAGCTGTGATTAAGAGAAGGGTCCTCTTGCTCACACACAGGCACACACACACTTCCCTCACTCTCCTGGGCTTCAAAAGTTAAAATATACAGATTCTCACCTCCTTTCCAAGCAGGTGTTGAGCTCAAGACTCAAAACTCCTTTTACTACTTTGTTCCAAATGGGAAAGGTTTGGAAAATCCATCCCCAGACATAAGGGATCTGCTGCTAGCAAAATGGAGGCTTACCCAAGCCTGGTCCGTTGGTCAGGTTAGCATCAGGTATGTAAATTGTTGGAAGAAAAATCCAGTCTGGTTCCAAGCTGGGAAAAAGATGCTGGAAATAAAATGGAGGCTGGCTGAAGGAAAGGTCTCTGTTCATTTTGGATACAAGAAACTTTAGTGACAGCAGCATATTTCTGGGATCGCTGGCAAAATGGGGTTGAGATAGATGGTTTTTTATACATTCTTTGGGCCTTTGTGATTGAGATGCCTGTTCTGTGTAAGAATGTGTCAGCCTCTGCTTCACTTACTTACTATCAGCTGCCACAGAAATGGGGAGGGTGGGGGCATGGTATTTGGGATGGGAATAAATGGTACAGGAGTGATATGAAAAAGGGAGTTTTCTTCTCACCATCTTCTGCGCATGCTGGTGGCCGGTGTTTGGACATGGTCAAGGCCAACCGTCCTGCATACCAACCTGATGATGCCTTTTGGAGATGCACCCCACATGACACCTAAGGGAGTTGCAGATTGGACACTGGGGTGGGGTCGTTAGAGGGAGGGGACTGGGTTATCATTTGATATGTATTTGTTCATGCCTTCTTGGTTCAGATCTTGCTTTCCTTTCACTGCTATCTTTTCATAACCAGTAAAAGTATTTTAATTCCACGAACAATGGAGTTAGGAGTTTTCTTTCTTGGTTATTGAGGGAGGCATGCCTGACAGAATGTGCCCTTTAATATTTTAATGGCTGTTGCCAGATCCCTAGGGGGGGCACTTTACACACAAAAGGGGAAATACTGTTTGTCTCAGCTAATCTTGTCAGCTCCAGCTTCCCTAACTGTGTTGCTTATTTGGAGTCGCTTTGCTTATGAATAGATTAGCCCACCCTTTCTACGAAATCTCCATTCCAAAAGAGCAGCCTTCCTGCTTCAGGCTGTTTTCCTGTGGCAGGAAAATTAGAGCTGATTTCTGCCTTTGTTAAGATTTTTCTCCATTTCTCCTTTAGGGGAAATATTCTATCGTGCCTCTTTTTAATATTAAGACTAAAGAATATTTTAACCTCGGGAGGGGATGGCCTTCCTATAATATAACATTAACATTAAAATGGTAAAATTAATTTAAGCTTAAATATTTTAACTATAAAATATTATAAAATTTCATAAAAGAAAAAAAAATCCAAGAGGAGGCTTTCTACAGTTACATGGTTGTTAAGTGAATCTGGCTTCTCCATTGGCACCTAAAGCATGCGACCATAGCGATGCTGCAATGGTCATAAGTATGAAAAATGTCAAAAAGTCACCTTTTTCAATGCTGTTGTAACTTCGAACTGTCACTAAATCAACTGTTGTATGTCAAGAAGCAGCTGTATAGTGTGGAAGCAATTTATGACAGTGGATAATTGCAATACTTCAACTTTCAATATGACTTTGCTAGACAAACTCAGCCAGAATTTAATCTGCAATGCAAGTGTCATCTGGAAAAAGAAATGCTTCTCTTTACTGTTGGCTCTTAAATCAATAAATTAAAATAATATATTGCAGGGTCCTGTGCAACTTTTTCACATGTCTAAAAAATAAATAGGATGTAGGAAATCCTTTGTGGGTTAGAGTTTCTTCTTCCTCGCCTAGAAATCAGTTAAATTTGTTTTATTAAGTCTGTCCTTTAAAACAAACATTATCTCAGGCACTTTGTGTCTCTGGCAATATCCACAATTGCATATTTCAAATAGATGCAGGGGTCTGTAAGGATGATTTCCTCTCTATGAAGAGAGTCACCAACTGGTATGAAGGAAGATAAAGGAAATCATTCCAAACTCTGTGTTCATATTTATTTTTGGCATCCTTTAAATACGACTATTGGAAGCCATTGGATAAAGGGCCAGCTTGCAGTTGGAAGAGCTGGGCTAGACTTAGCTGGAGGAAATCCTGACATCCCACAGTAGCTTTCTCTCACACTCTCCTTCCCAAAGGTTGCCTGTCTGTGCTTTGCTCTATTGTCTTCCTATGCCTAGATTCAGGTAATTGAAAAATAGGTGCCTTTCTAATAAAATACATCAGAATACTACATGTTCTCTTGTGATTTTGGTTATTTGAAAACAAATAAGATCGCTCAAACACCAACAGCCTGTCAGCTGTTCAGTTAGAGAATCCAAAAAGAGAATTCCTTGGACAAAAGGAAAACTTTATTGACTACACTACATTGGCACAGAATAAGCAAAATCAGCTGTGGGTTTCCCACATGAAAGTCTACATAGTTGGACTTGATTTTCCCCCTTGGCCATCCCCTTCAGTTCATTGTGTTGCCCAATTAAGTCTGCTTCTTTTGTTATGGGAACAGTCTGGATCTTTCAAACACCAGCACTTGGGGTTGGCAGCAAGGTCTCACTTGCATTCCATTCCCTCCCCAACATACCATCCACACCCCTGCCGATTGTTGTCAAGCTGAGAGTGAAGAAGCAACTCTGCAACCTTAAACACTCAAAGAGCCATTTGGACCAGTTTCCCACAAAAAAATAAAACACTGGGAGCCAAAAAACCTGAGTGGGCATGGCCAACTCGAAGTCATGCACTCCCACCCAGTCACATGACTGTCTCTCTCTGTCTCCTCTCTCTCTCTCTGTCTGTCTGTCTCCTTCCCTCCCTCTCTGTCTTTTCCTCCTTCTTTCCCCTTTCTGTCTCTCTTTCTTTCCCTCCCCCTTCTCTCTTCTGCCTTCTCTTTCCCTCCCCCTCTCTTCCCCTCCCTCTCTTTCCCCCCTTTCCCCCTTTCTCTCTCTATCTCTTTCTGTGTATCACTTTCTCTCCCTCTATTTCTATCTTCCCCCTTTCTCTCTGTCTCTCTCTCTGTCTCTTTCCCCCATTTCTGTCTGTTTCTTTGTCTCTTTTCCTCTCTCTGT